ATGTTCTGACTTCTGAGTAAGTTGCAGAATCATAATAAATATATCTAGTACCGTATAACTAGACACCTATCATTTTAAGTAAAACGATAGATATATAGAGTATATATATACCATTGAAGTATATATAGAGTATCACTAACAAGAATGTAAAAAAAAGAGAAGAAACAGAAGCACATTTTCTAGTGGTTCTTTAAAAATTGAGTGATGTGGGTGCTTAACTTGGTTTACTTTAATTTTGTTTGACCTTTGTGGAGCAAACTACTTGGCCCCTTGGTTATATAAAAAAGATGTTATTCATGTTTTAAAATTTCTTTGCATTCTGTTAGATATTTATGTATTCTGACTTGAAACTTGCAGTGTGCTGGTGCTCGTGATGATAAGAGGAATCCTATTATAAGGGACTTCTATAGCAGCCCCCTTACTGCAAGGTAATATCATTGACATGTTGGCTTACATCACCTTAATTTCACATTTTTTTTTTTATTTACACATTCTCTGATCCTTATGTCCAACTTCTCTACAGTGGCAACACCCACGATGATATGTTACTTGCTAAACTTTAGACCATGTATACTGGTTATGGTGACAAGGTTCTTCAATGGTTAGTTTCTTCAATTCTTTCTCGTGCTCGAATTTCTTGTTGCCAAAGCCATAATATTTTCTTTCCATTTGTTTTCCTTTTCTTTATACAGTTGGTCTTCAACATTGACCAGGGATTCCTGTATTGCCAGGGTGGCTAGTTTTCGGTAGAGTAAATGCTCGTGCCTTGAAGGGCTTGGCTGTTGGTCCTATGCGGCTCTTTTTAAGGTATTTATTGGTGTAAATGTGTAATCCTCTTTCTATAGGAGTAAGAGATGTAGCTAAATGGAGTCTTTCAGCTTTCAACTATATTCCAATTATCATTACCTTAAAATATGTTGTTAGATTTTATTTTTTTGAAAGGATATGTTGTTAGATTTGGTGTCTCATTCTTGGATTACCGACCATCTTAAATGATCTTTCTGCAGTTTGTCTGGTGGTCATGTTGTGGGTAATTTCTCTCCGCATGAAGCTTTTGCTATTGGTGGTACCAAATGTAACACCCCATTTTCTAAACTCTAAAACCCAAATAATAATCATTCTTAAATGGGATTAAACAAGGGTAGGTTGGATAAACTAGAATAATAAATGAATTCAATAACTAAGGGGAATGTCAACGCCACAGTCACCCACTCGCAGGTGACTGCACAGGTTAACAAAACTACTAAGTCAAAGAGTCAAACTCAATAAAGCGACAAAAAGGGGAAGTAATCCCCGGTGTCTACGCACCAACAACAGTAAAGTAGTTTACTACAACCATCAGCAAAATACATCTAAGGGAAGAGGGGTACTAGTCTAGCAACTACTACACTAGAGCTACACACTAGTCTATCAACGCGCGCTCTCATGCATTGGGCCCACCTGAAAGGGGCTATAAAACATGTATGAAAATAAACCCGTTAACAATTAATGCTAAGTATAAAGCCACTCAACCCTGTAAAGTACTATAAATATAGGTTGAAAAACGTTTGCATTCATACACAAATCTCAAGTATGAAAATAAGCAATCAAGACACTTAGTCAACGAATCTCATTAGATATATTAGTATACTTCTATATGCTCAACAACCTATATTTTCATAACATCAAGCTTCATCAAGCTTTAACTTAATTCAAACTTATGCAAATTCCCATGCTGTAAACAGATATAAGTCATCTATATTCTACTATGCACTTCTCACAATCATGCTGATACTTTCAAGATAGATAATGGAATAACTTATGCTTAACAAGTAAAGTCATGCTTTCATGCGAATACTTAAACAATGAATGATACTATACTTCTCAAATTATTCAAATAAGTCATATGCTATGCCATGTTATAAATGGAGGTATGATACTATATATGCATATTATATATATATATATATATATATATATATATATATATATATCCTTTATATAATAAAGCTATATGGTTTGGGAAATAATTAATGTTACAATTAATGCCACAACATCCTTTATTATTATTAAAAAAAAAAAACACAACATTTAAAAAATAACATAACTATATATTATATAATCATATAAAAAATATACTTTTGAAAAATAAAATAGCTATATATTATATAATCATATAAAAAATGTGTTCAATTAGAGTTTAAATTTACACATACAAAATTTGAAATTTGCTTTCCAAATGTAATTATCTTAGTTATTATTTGTATTGTGAAAATTATAATATAGATGAAATACAATTAAGAATAAATCAATGTAATTATGTAAATTATCTCTATAAGTTTATTTGAATATGCACATAATTAGAGATTACATTAACCATACAAAATTATAATTATAATTATAATTATAATTTTAATTGTAAATTTGTATTCTATAAAAATAATAAATACTTGACCAATGGAAGCTCAAAAATATTATTATATTAAATAATTTAAAATATTTTATTTTTTCTATTTTTTTATTTATATTTATAATAACATAATTTTTTTCCGTGCATCGCGCGGGTGAATTACTGGTATATATATATATATATATATATATATATATATATATATATATATATATATATATATATATTTGTACTCTCGCTGTTTATTTTAAAAATAAATACTTTTCTGTGGAGGATCTCTGTTGAGTCACTTGACTCGCTTTTCTCTTCTTTCTTTCTTGCTTTCCTTCTTTCTTTCTGTTGAGTCACTTGACTCGCTTTTCTCTTCTTTCTTACTTGCTTTCTTTATTCTTTCTCAATCTTTCTCATGATTATCTTTTCTCTTCTTTCTTTCAATCTGGGTCTAAGAGGCAGGCACTCCATCGCGGCGAAGCCCTAGTGAACGGTGTTTCCCCTACAACTACCGCATCCGTACCTACGGAACCTCAAACTCGTGGGGGAGGTAGGAACTTCACGAATCGTGAATGGACCTATCCGGGCTCGGAAATTTAGCCGGCCTAATACTCATGTCGCCCACAGAACAGGTACTCGTGGTTCTTATAACTTTGTAGAATCAGGTATCGTACTTTTAGTGTGCACATCCCTTGACTAGGATTCCAAGCCTAGCGGGTAGTATCGAACCTAGCAACTCGGGAATATCGACTAAGTTACTTCTAAAAATAAACTGGCGGTCCTCTGTGGCCGAATCTTTTCTCTGTTTTGTCGGTGACTTTACCGATCTTTTCTCTGCTTTGTCGGTGGCTTTACCGATCTTTTCTCTGTTATTCCGAAAGGATATAGTCCTAACGGTGGCCTCCAAAATCATAGATTTTCCTCACTTTATATAAATAGCATATATAGCACATGCAACTTCTTTTCTCATGCTAGTAATCTAGATGTCATGCAAACTTCTCAATGCACATATATCTCATATAACTTCTCTTTCTCATATTGGAAATCTAATTATCATGCAAGCTTCTCAATGCAAATAGATATAGATTTTTCAAAATAGATAATAGGTTTTGGAAATAGCTTAGGCTTTACTTTAAGACTTTACTGTACTTAAGCTTTGAATATGCTAAAATGCTCATTTACTGTAAAACTTGGAAATACACTGCCTTAAACAAGTAATCTCAATAAACTCAACAAATCTTCTATTCAAGGGTTAAACAAAGCAAATAGCACAACTACTACACATTCTTGTGAACAGAAGCAAATATAATACTTCACTGAGCCTCAAGGGCCCACGAATCTCGGTCCGAAACAACACATGGTTGAGCCTCAAAGGGCCCGACATCTATTGGAATTGGCCTGGCGGAGCTTGGTGACGGGGCTTGAGAAACCCCGTCACTTAGCTCCACCAAACAACGGCCTAGAGTGACAGATCCCTATGGGATCCGTCACTCAGGCCCGTTGGGCCACGGTCTTAGCCAGCAGATCTCTCCTAGATCCGTTAGCTAGGGCCGCAAGGTAAGCCTGGTGCACTGACAGTGTCCACCAGAGGTGTTCTTCTCCAAATATACAACTCAGAGCTTCAAAAAATGCTTCCAGACAACCATAAATCATACACATAACATCATCAACAGACAAATAACTCATCAACAATTATTCTCTAAGATTTCTAAACATCTAATCTCAATAATCTATCATTTATCATACTAAAATTATAGTTTTGGAAATCCATGGTTTATACCTTGAGCTTGGCTTTCTCTAGTGTGGATCCCTCTTCTCCTTCTTCAGAGATTCCCACCTTCACCTTTGTGTTTTCCCTTCTCTCTATCAGACTCTGTTGTCTAAGGTTGAAGGAGGCCAAAATGGAGAGATCAGGAGAAGTCAATGGAACAGTGTTCTTTATATATGGGTTCAAAACCCTATGTGGGAAGTTTGGCTGATAAGGGCAAAATGGTAAAATGGCTTTCCAAAATATCAGGCTCCTTCTTGGCTTGTAAAAATCATCAGGCTTTTTCTTTTAAATCAAGCTAAGGCATAAAATAATTTTATACATCTTGGGGGTTAAAATAGATTTTCTATAAAGGTATTTCTAACTACAACATTTGGTTCAGGTTTCACATGTTCCTCTCAGGTTTCACTCATATTGACTTTTTGGATCAAAACTTGATAAATAGATATACCTGAAACTTAGGATTTTCGAAATAGGCTACTTCTTGGTGTTGAATTGATTAAAAATCACGATTTAAAATATTTAATTCATACACCGTTTAAAAAAAAAAAATCAAAGGAGTAAAAATAATTATGTTGTAATTTATAAAATAAAATTTAGAAAAATAATTTTTGGGTTGTCATACCAACAGTGTTAGAGGATATGAAGAAGGTGCAATTGGCTCAGGTCGATCATATGTGGTTGGATGTGGCGAAATTTCATTTCCCCTTGTAAGTGAAGGCAGTTGAACCCTTGGAGAGGGTAACTGAGGTTCTAATTGTTTTTTTTTTTTTTTTTTTTTTTTTTTTTTTTTTTTTTTTGTATTAAGGAGTTACTATATGTCCACTTTGCAGGAGTGAGATAGAGTGGCATCTAGGAAAATTCCTGCCATAGAAGATCTTGAAGAAGAAACCTAAGAAGGGGCCTAAGAACGCCAAGCCTATGACTAAAACTGAACATCGTGACAGTTTCTTCAACTTTTTTAGACCACTTGAAGTTCCCAAGGATGAAGAAGCTGTAAGAACTACATTCGTGTATCATAGTTTTTGTCTTTTCTTTCTAGATTGACTTGTGTTAAATTTTAACTGTATATTCATGAATGGATACTTTTCAAGTGTATGAAATGTCTATATGTTTTGTATATGTTTTTTAGAAATATCTTATCAGCTTGTAACAATATATATATATATATATATATATATATATATATATATATATATATATATATATATATATATATATATATATATTTCACTACAGAGGGATCTTCTGTAGCGAAATGACTACGTCAAGTTTTCCGACCACCAAAGTGGTCAAAATTTCTGACCATCGATGGTCAAAAAATCTAGACCCGCCCAACTATTTTCCTCGCCATTTTTTTTGACGGCCTTAAGAAAGTTGTCGCTATTTCCAACCACTTTCTCTGGTGGTTGAAAATAGCGAGGGGATTTTTTCGGATACCCAAATTGGTCAGAGAAGAGGTCGGAATAGGCATTTCTGACATAATTAAGGTCATTTCTGACCACTTTCAGGTGGTCGGAAATCTGTTGATTTACAGCCGTGATGGTCCGCGGGCGCTTAGGCGTGATTTTTGCAACACTGATCAAGAGACATAGTAGGTGGAGGGTTGGGAATGGTAATTATATTATAATTTGGGATGTTAGATGGCTCTCTGATAGTGATAATGTTGTTGTGACTATTCACCTTTTTCCCTACTTGGAGAATGCAATTGTTTCTTACATTATTAGTGGGCAGAATGCTACTTGGGATGCGGAGATCATAAATGACATGACATTTTTAACAGCAGGGATGCGAGGCTGATTACTAATATCCCCCTTCCTGCTTGTAAGGGAAGGCAAATTTATTTTGGCTAGGGAGGAAAGATGGGAGTTCACTATTAAAAGCTATGAGTTAATTTCACTTTTGGTCCTATGATTATTGGTGTGTTGTCAATTTCAATCCACAACTTTCAAAACTAATAATTTAGTATCCTAACTATTCAATTTGTATCAATTTTAGTCGGTCCAGTCAAATTGTCGGCCAATTTTTATCTATATCTCACATGCCTCTGTATTAATTCAAACAATGGTTCACAAATTAGCTTTCATTTTAACACTGAATTAAAATATTTCAGCGACAATTGACCGAAAATTTGACTAGACTGATTAAAATTGATAAAAGTTGAATAGTTATGGTACTAAATTGTTAATTTTGAAAGTTGTGGACTCAAATTGACAACACCCCAATAGTCATCGGATCAAAAGTGAAATTAACTCTAAAAGCTATTATAAAGCTCAGGTTCATGATTTCTCTAGTCTCCCTCCCCCCCCCCCCCCCCCCCCCCCCCTCCGCTCCGAATGGTCTGTTATTTGGAACATGAATATCTCTCCAAAAGTGAAGGTTTTCTTTTGGCAAACATGCACTTCCTGTCTTCCCATTACCACTATTCTTCTTCTTAAAAAAAAAAGGTGAAAAGGTAAAAAGGTGTACTATTCCAATATTTGTCATACTAGTAGGTGCACCCGCGCGATGCGCGGCTATATATATAGTATGATATATATACAGTATAGTATATAGTTATTTGAACCTGAATAAATGTGAAATGAAAAACTTGTGATTTTATTACACATTGATGAATTTAGTAATTTTATTAGACATTGTTGAAGACTTCATTGTTGAAACAATGTGATGCATGGCTACCTATATAGTACATTGAATATTACGTATAATATAATAAGAATAAGAAACATAGTATTTAAAAAATAGTACATTTTAAATAATAAATTGTGGAATGTTATTATACATTATTGAAGACTTCGTTGTACACAACATTTTTAGTCGTACTAAGACATGGTACACTTTCCCCGCAAATCAAAATTTTCAAACTCCTGGGGTTACTAACTCTTGAAACAGCTACGTACAATTGTCCATGGTTAAATACATGTATTTTCAACAACAACCCCACTTTAGCAAGTGTTTGTCCTTGACTTTTGTTGATTGTCATGGCATAGGATAGCATCAAAGGGAATTGCTTTCGTTGAAATTTGAAAGGCAATCTTGGATCTGACGGTGTAAGTGACATTCTAGGAATCAATACTCTGGTTCCTGCATTTGTACCGCACATGATCTTGCCTTCCAACACGTGGTCAGCTAACCTTGTAACAATCAACCTTGTACCGTTGCATAATCCTAGTGTGTGATCAATATTTCGCAATAGCATAACAGGTGATCCAACTTTCAAAGTCAAAGCATGATTTGGTACTCCAGAACATCTCAAGGCATTCAAGAATTCCGGAGTGTGCAAATCCGCTAACATGTCAACATTTGCATCTGACTTACACACAGAATCACAACTCAAGTATGTCTTACCCTCAGTCGGACTATGATCATTCATGTATTGGTTAACGGCATCTACCACATCCAATGTTGGAGCTAAAATTGCACTATCATTAAGATATGACAAATCGCCAATTCCCAGTCGGAAATTAGGGAATGTGCTATCAACAATTGTAGCAATAGGGTCATCCTCACACTTCAACAACAAATGTTCTGGCACAGTAATCTCGGACTCACCATCAAGTTGACTACCAATTATTCTGTCACCTATATTAGCTATCCATTTTGCAAATTCCTCGATCTCCTTGCCCTCGTTTTCTGATTGAACACTTCTCAAACGTAGATTCTTAGTAAGCCTTAAGACTTTACAGGATTTCCAGAGATATGATGAGCTAATGCTGGCTCGAACAATATCCGGTCTAGTACCCTTTGGAATGACTGGTAAAATTTGCCTGAAATCGCCACCAAAAACAACTGTTTTACCACCAAATGTCATATCAGAACTCCTTGGATTTATGAAGCGCAACAGATCCCGTATAGTCCGGTCTAGGGTTTCAAAACAGAATTTATGCATCATTGGGGCTTCATCCCATATTATCAACTTGGTTTGCACAAGTAGCTCTGCCAGTTCACTGCCGTGACGTATGTTGCATGTGGAATCTTCATTAACAGCTATTGGTATAACAAACCGAGAATGTGCAATCCTCCCACCAGGTAATAAAAGCGAAGCTATGCCGCTAGAGGCAACGTTTAACACTATTTCACTCCTAGACCTTAATGCGGAAGAAAGTGCTCGCCACAAGAAAGTCTTACCGGTCCCTCCATAACCATAAACGAAGAATAACCCCCCATCTTGGCGATCAATGTCAGTTAACACTTCATTGTATATGACCTTTTGTTCTTCTGTTAACTGCCTTACCAATTCCTGATTTTCTTTCTCCTGTTCGCCACAATCGTATGCTAATTCTTCTTGAATAAACCTATTTGCAATAACGTTTAAGGCACCAAAATTTGCCGTTGGCATTTCAGGATAGTCCTTCAAACTCTTACCATGAGTAGATAATAGCTTCTCAATCTCTACTAAGGCAAAGTTCATCTTGTGCGAATTGGTCAACACAAAATCTGCATAAGTATATATAAAAATTTGGTGTTATAACACACCTACGTTAAACTTGACTTAATATTGGGTTATCAGTAATAATAAAATAAATTGAAAAATGTACGATTACCTCTATTCTGCAGTTGTCTACGGACGTTGAATTGTGCATCGTCTGATAAATGTTGCCACACAACATGCCAAACTATTTCCGGTTTCCCCATGCAACTGCTCATTAGCAATGTCACAAACAATCTCCTGAGTTGATCTGATGACGCCCAATTACTGGCTTCATCTATTGCATCCACATATTCGTTATCATCATCAACTAAACCCCTTGCATAACACGCCCATTTACAGTCCTAATATCTTCATAACTTTTAGGGCCACGGATTTTATTCAGCAAACACCTCAAATAGAAAATTTCACCAGTAGCTGGCGAGACATAGAATATACGTCCGATTGAGAAGCCTGTTTTCCATGGCTGCCATTTTCTAAGGTCTTTCTTCCAAACGAATCGTGTTGGCATCTCAACATAAGTAAGTTCTCTTGCATCGGGGTATGTTTTATTTGCTTTAAACCATTCCAAAAACATGCTATGTGCTATGGTAGGTCTATTAACCATGTTCTCAACAGCATCATCATCTGCAAATATTACACTCTGTTGATTAGGAAGGTGAAAGCTTAACCTTTCCACTAAAGGCGCCCTAAGCTGTATATCAAAACCAAACAGATGCCAAACTGCTTCACATGGGGATATGTACCTACAGTCATAGTACATATTAATCTCATATATTGCTTTCACATTCTCGTCATCATTGCTTGTTTTGTAAAATTCGGCTGTCACCCGATCATGACCCTTGTTAACATACTTGAACAGGTACTTGATTGAGCGTGACTGGTTGCACCACTCGACATTTATATGAGCCTTATACTTAAGCAATAAATATCTATTGTGCGGTACCACATACCTGTTGTCCAAGGCGATCCCGTTCTTTGTAACTATAGTGCCATTATCTCTCCTTCTATATACCGGGTAACCATCGTCATCAAATGTAGAACTCTCAACAAATCTCTTAGGAAAATGTTTAGAGCATCGCGCATTTACCATACATGGAGAATTGGTCCCCGCTTTTCCACATGGACCATGCATCATAAATTCCTCTACCGCTTGGTAATACTCTGCATCTTTCTTTTCATCTGGAATCTCTGCGCAAATTATGTTGTCTAGAGTAACAACTTGCATAACTTCTTTACTTTTCTCCAAAAAAAAACAATATATGAGCATGCAGAAGACCTCGCTTTTGGAACTCAATTGTATATATAACTGCAATAGCATAGACATAAACATCATAAGGTTAAGTAATTAAATAAAATTATAACAAACTTGATTTAAAATAAAATAACAAATATTACCTCCCGCCACAGGGCCAAATAGTTTATTCTTTCGACAATCAGCTATCAAGGCATCCAACTTCATCTTGAATAAGCGGCAAATTATGTCCGGCCGGTCTTCTACCTTCAACCTTTGATCTTTTAAAAAGCGTTGCACCTCAGGCCACTTTGGATTGCATGTAAAGGTTATAAATAAATCTGGGTATCCAATCCATCTACATATTGCCATTGTATCTTGGTAGTTTTGTATCATGTATCTAGCACCACCAGTAAAACTTGAAGGTAGTATTATTCTGCGACCTTGGGCTGCGGGGCTTAATTCACCCCTTGTTAAAGCATCAGTCAATCCACTGTAACTCTCACACCTTAGGCTTTTTTGGTGTGTCCTTATATAAATTAGTCTTCCAGACTCAACCATTGTGTATCCATCTACAACAAACTGTTGGAACAACCGCTTTGCAAATAGTATGGTACTCGGAGCTGACTGTCTAGACTGTATGCGGTAGCAAAAGAACTCCCTGGGACTAATCCTCTGCCTACCACCTGAAGAACGCTTGCCTACTGCGTTCGTGAATGCAATGTCTTCCCGATAACCGTCTTCGCCATATGGAAACAAAAGAGGGTATTGCAGTGGTAAGTATGAAGGATTTAATTCACTTATCCTTTGTAGGTGGCCACCCTTAGATTGAACAATAATATCACGCTCGCCAATACTGGTATCCAGATCTCCCACAATTAAAGCTGCTACTTCAGACACTTGCGGCAGATTATATGTCCTCGCATCTTTAGTTCGTTTTCCCAACAACTTTATTTTGACTTCGGCGCATGGGTTAATATCCAGCTCAGAAATAGCCATCCGAAAAGACTTAACCAAAACATTATTTTCATCGAGGTCTTTCTGAATGACATTCACTATTTCTACCTGAATGTCATCTTGCTCACCACTACCCCTACAACAACAAAAACTTTGCATTGATATTTATTTAGAATTAATTTCACTTTTGGTCCCACGACTTTTGATGTTTTATCATTTTTGGTGCACAACTTTAAAATTTTTTAATTTTGGTGCCTAACTTTGTTATTTTTATCAATTTTGGTCCTTTCGGTCAAATTAACAGCGAAATGTTGCTGGATTTTATATTTTTAGGGGTAAAATTGTCATCCCAAGGAAACATCTTCAATATCTAAACAAAATCACTGTAAAATCATATCTATAGGGGTTTGATCGATGAGAATAATGGGAAAGACGGACAGAAACCAGACAGATCTATGGGATTTATAGTTTCGACCATTGGCAAACTCTTCTTTTCCTCTTAATATGATTTTTCTTTTATTTAAATATTGAAGATCTTTCCATGGTATGACGATTTTGCCCCTAAAATATAAAATCCAGAAATATTTTACCGTCAATTTGGCTGGAAGGACCAAAACTGATAAAAATAACAAAGTTAGGCACCAATATTGAAAAAATTTAAAGTTGTGCACCAAAAGTGATAAGAACTCAAAAGTCGTGGGACCAAAAGTGAAATTAATTCTATTTATTTAGATAACAAATAGTATGTAATGTGTAATTACGCAAACTTGTTTACCTCACAGCATTTATACGGTTGTTCTTTTCATTTGCCGTGTCGTATATGTATAACTGAGCAAAATGAGGCTATTTGCCTTCTTCTGGAAGTAGACTGCCCATTAGGTGATAGTTTTGTCCACTTAATCGAAAAATAGGAGGTGCGCCTCCCTTGTTCACAGTCTTGTCAATTTTTCCTCCCATGGATGTGAAGCAGAACATGTCGTTGTAGGTCCTGATGTTGTGTAAAAATTCTTTTGATAATTCGTCATTGCCGAAAAAGAGATCAAATATACCTTTTGGTGGCAACTTATTCTCCGGCAACTTGATCTTCTCATTGTTGCAACACAACATAAACAGTGGCGATGCTTTTGTTGACAAATTCTTCTTCCTTTCTTCAAACCAAAACAAAGCCCCACAATGGATGCATTTATTTGTTGCATCACCAAAATCGCAGTATTGACCTGCAACCAGATATATACAAAATTATATACCGATTGATATTTTATGAAGTTATAAACCAAATATCTATACCATGTTGTTGACCAGAGGATGTCCCAATATCCGAGGTCTGCCTCACATCGTTAATCGATATATCCACATCTGAAATTACAAATACATTTATAAATCAATTTGAATAGTTGAAGGTTTTCAATTTTACTTTGCTTATAGTTGTTTCAAAAAGCAGCAGCTACTATTATTACCTGCTATGTACTGATTTGGGGCTTCGATCATTTTAGGGTTACATTCATCTTCAAAGGTAGATAGCAAGTCTCTTTTTGTTACATGGTCTTCTACAATTGCAAACTTATGTAATGGTTTACGAATTGCAAATTCATCTTGTGTTATGGTTGATATAGGTTTTTGGAAATCTCCAAAAACAAATCGCTGGTAATTACTTGAGAATATTTGTGTCTTGGACGAACCTACTGTACACATACGTAATATTAGACCAATTTAAAGTATAACGATATTTAAAGTCACAATTAATGTAAATCCCTACATTTTAGGGGATTATAAAAAAAAAAAAGTAGTTGGTATCACATGTAGCTTTTCAACTTGTTGACTATGAAGAACATTATAATAACAAAATAAATTACAGAAGTTAAAATATTATAAATTAAGTACACCTAACATTATTACTTATGCTAGCCTAGAAGATCAAATTGTAATTTCACTGTATAAGTATTACATTTTAGTGGAAAAATTATTAGGTAGACCATGGTCCACACAACTTTGTGCACACTAAATACCATTAGAATTAAAAAGTATATATCATTAATACCAATCTAATCAATTAATTACACATAACAAAAGAAATTTAACTATTGTAAAGCAAAAATTATAAATTGATATTAAAAAGTAAATCATATGAATACAAATGAGTGCAATTACAATTTCACGTAGAGTTGTATGGACCATGAATTACATTGTAATTATAACATTTAATTTGACAAACATTTTTTAAGAATTAAAACTATAAGGATATTTAAATTCACAATGAATGTATATCAATTCATCTTAGGGGATTTACCGTTAGTGATGTTACTCAATGGTGTGATATTTTGAGACAAACATCCTCCAAAGGAATTCGGGAAGGATTAGTTGCCGTAGGTTGCTCTTTACATTGAGCAGCATTATTCCTTGATGATGAGTTGCCGAAATAATTTGCTGTGATATAAAATATAACATTAAAATAAAAATTAATTCCAATAATTAACAATCGTAAAAATTAAGTACACATAACATAATTAATTTGTCAATTGCACAACATTAATTTGTAATTGCTCAAAATTTGGCTAATATTATAAAAGAAAGTAGTGGGTATGACCTGGAGCTTTTCAACTTGTTGACTATGAAGAAGACTATAATAACAAAAGTAATTACAGAAGGTAGACCATGGTCCACACAACTTTGTGCACACTAAATACCATTAGAATTAAAAAGTATATATCATTAATACAAATCTAATCAATTAATTACACATAACAAAAGAAATTTAACTATTGTAAAGCAAAAATTATAAATTTGTTATAAAACCACTATTTATGGACATTTGTATTTGTAACGGAATGTAACGGATGTAACAGTTGTATACATTTATTGTATTTATTACATTGAGTCCTTTATATTCTGTACTCTTGTAAACTAAAAAAATGAGCTAATGAGAATATAGAATTCATCTCACATATATCTCTACTCTTTTCCTTTGCTTTCTTTTGCTTTTGTTCTTCAAGCGTTCACCAAACTCAAGGAGTCTAAGGCCAACTAACCTGCATTACAACACGTTATCAGTACGCTCTAACCCCCGGTGAACGGTATTTTTCTATTTTCTTATATATATCTTATTTTTTTCGAATGCCTGAGATCACATATGTTTATTCTTTATGCTTTTGTGAATTTATGAAAGCATGATCATATGATTATATGTTCCTTTTGGTAATATATATATTTCTGCATCCGTAAATATGTATTTTTATATCCATATACTTGCTATAGTATTTTTTTTAATGCTTATGATATTATATGCACTGTTTTTTTTAACATTTTTTTTTCCAGAATACGAAAAAAAAACCCTTTTCTTTTACTGTATCCCTTTTCCGATTAAACCTTTGTTAAGGTAATCTTGTCGATCTGGCTCTCATAATCATGTTTTTTTTTTCAAATCAACATAGAGATAAATAAACATAGATTGTTCATAGTTGATTTGTTTAAACTAAAAGAACCAATAAATAATTTCTATGAAGAATTGAACACAAATTTTTATGGTTATTATCAAGCAAATTTTTAAACAATTGTCTAATTAACTTTGAGTGGATATGATTAAGCTTATCCCAGACATTTGTGTATGCATGTGTTTCACTATCTAGCAATGGTATCATATTTCTCATTTTCTTCTTTCTGCTTAAATTTTTCGAATAAACTGTATATAGAAATTTTCTACACATAAATTTTTTTTTGATAAACAAATTTCTCGTTTTTTAAAAACAGTGTATATATACATATACTTTTACAGAAATTTGTACATGCTTGTATGCTTATATTTTTTTTAGATTATATGCTCTGTATATGAGTTAAGCATCCCAGATTTATATACAAAAATCGAAGAATATCTATAGATTTTTTTTCTTCGAACTTCATACCTGGATCCGTGTGGATTTTCTTTCGATCTACGATCCGTCCCTATCCTGTACGGTCAGGGATGGCGGCAACGCTGGTTGATGACGATCGGCATCGATTCGCACGATCGGAGACAACGGCGGCAACGCTGCTCGGCGATAGAAACCGGTGGCTGGAGGTGGCGGAGACAACCGACTTCCTCCCGCGGTAATGGCGACCGTCGGTGGCTCGCGAAGATGGTGGCTGCGGTGATGGCGATCGATGGTTGAAGGCCTCTTCTTTTTCCCCTTCGGTTTAATTGAAAGAGGTGGCATAACATAAATGCCTCATCTTTAGCCTAATAAACGCAGAAGCGTTTTTTTTCCTCTTTATGGCCTAGGGTTTTCTATTAAAGCCCTCCTTTTCTTGCATATTTCTATTTTGGACCAGTGTTTTCATTTTTGGACCACCATCATTCATGGGCTATTTTTTTCTCTTTCAAGCCCCTAATTTATTTGGACCATTTTTTTTTTGGGGCATGATATATAATATTTTCTTTGGGCCTTTCATTTATTGAAATAAACTAGGCCACACATTCCATTTTTTATGGTCCTCATTCAAATATTTTCTGTAGAAATGGCTGCTCTCGCAAAACGAGAATTCGCTGAACTCGCCCTCAATGGAAGCAATTTCCTCACTTGGGCACTTGATGTTGAGATATATCTCCAATCTACAGAACTGCTGGACACCATTGAAGAGACATCTACGAGCACTGCAGCCCAGAAGGCAAAAGCGCTCATTTTCCTCCGCCACCATCTCAACCACGACCTCAAGAATGAATACTTAACAGAAAAAGACCCCTATGTCCTCTGGAAATCTCTTAATGCACGCTTTGACCAACAGACGTCATTGGTCCAACCCCAGGCCCAACATGATTGGCTTAACCTCCGATTTCAAGACTTTAAGTCTGTGACTGAATACAACTCCGCCCTACACAAAATTGTGTCACAATTAAAGCTCTGTAAGCAAATAATTACGGACGAGGATCTAATTGAAAAAACTCTATCCACGTTCCATCCAAATGACCTTGTGCTCCAGAAGCAGTACAGGAATACAAAGTATAATACGCATCCAGAGCTCATTACTGATTTACTGGTGGCTGAAAAGCATAGCCAGTTATTGATGCATAATCACAATGCACGTCCAACTGGCGCTGCACCTGTGCCTGAAGCACACACTGTTGCCCAGCAGAGCGACAATCGGCGGGGTCGAGGCCGGGGAAGGGGGAGAGGTCGTGGCAGGGGCCCAAAGCGAGGTGGCAGAGGGGGAGCTAGCGGTAGTAACTCCCGTCCTCAGAACAAGCAAACTCAAAGAAATGGACCAAACAAGTCACAACAGAACTCTGGTCAGTCGCAACCATGTTATAAATGTGGTTGCAAAGGACATTGGTCTAGGACATGCAGGACTCCTAAACATCTGGTCGAGGCTTACCAAAAGATGCTCCAGCAAGAAGGAGGACAAAAGAAGAAAGATTCTGGGCAATCATCTTTGCCTGAAGCAAATGCCCTCATCTTAGGGAATGATGACCTGCTAGGCGATGAACTAGCTGATTATGGAGATCAGGAGTGATACTCCTATTCTTTTCTCTCCTTTTTTCTTATGGACATCCATTTTACTTCATGCCTGCGTGCATGTTTATATTTGAACTCCTTTGTCCTATATGAATAATGGATCCCTTATCTTTGAACTCTTTTGTTTTTTTTTTGAATAAATACAATGGATTCTTCTTAGACATTATCTTGATACCCATTCCTTTTTCTTTAGAGATATGGGAGATGAATCAACCCTATGCTTGGTTGATTGTGCGACTACGCACACTATTCTGACAGACCGGAGATTTTTCCAAACGTTCAAGGAACATAAAGGCAACCTTTCAACCATAGCGAATGATGACATCCCTATTGTGGGCTCCGGCAGAGCGTCACTTATTCTTCCTAAAGGAACAAAGTTGATCATTGATTCAGCCCTCCTATATCCTCAATCAAAAAGAACTTTGCTCAGTTTCAGGGATATTCGGTCCAACGGTTTCCACATAGAAACTAAAACTAAAAACAATACCGAATCCCTTGTTTTGACCAAAACGGTCAATAACCAGAAAAAGGAAATTGAAGAACTTCCTTCCTTTTCTTCAGGCCTGTATTATTCATATATCAGGCCCCAGCACTCCTGCGTTGCACTCGCAGTAAAGTTTAAAGATACACATTCTTTCAGTCTATGGCATGACCGCTTAGGTCACCCTGGGCAAACAATGATAGGCCGGATTCTTTCAAATTCAACTGGACATAACCTTCTTAGGACAAACATTCTTTCTACAAAAGATTACACATGTGTTCCATGTGCACAGGGAAAACTTATTGTTCGTCCCTCGCGTCCTAAGATTGGTTTTGAGTCACCTGTCTTCCTGCAGAGGCTACAGGGTGATATTTGTGGACCAATTAATCCTTCATCCGGACCATTTCGATATTTTATGGTCCTTATTGATGCTTCCACCCGATGGACACATGTGTGTTTGTTGTCCACTCGAAATATGGCATTCGCAAAATTCATAAGCCAAATCATTAGGTTGAATGCCCAAT